AGTTTTCGGTCGACCTCCAGGAGCCGTCTTTGCGCAAGTTGATCGATGGTCACAACGTCGTCGGCATCGCACTCACGCCCAGCGGCGTTTATCAAGAGATGGCTTGGAGCGCAGCCCGTTATCTGCACGGTCAGATGAGCCCGGGTGGTTCAGATGCGCAGATGGTTTTGCAGAAACTTGACATCTTCTCGCCCCTTTTCCTGGCACAGTCGACGAGCCCGCAGATCGTCACGGTCCGCGCAACCACCAAGACAGGGTCCAACACCTTCGTCGTCACCGTCAGCTCGGACAAGGACCACTCGCGCTGCGAGCTTGTCATTGCACCTCCCCACCAGACGCAGAAGGACGAATGGAAAGCTCGACGAGTCCTAGTCGCGCCGAGATCCGCCGAGCTCATGCAGCCCGCATCTCAACATCCCGTGTACCGGCTGTTCAAGCAGATGGTGTACAAGATCTTCTCTCCCATCACGGACTACTCGAGCGAATACTGGTCCATCAACGAGGTGTTCATCGACCAGTCTTTTACCGAGGCTGCATTCAAACTGGATCTGCGCGAGACTCCGGCCGGGTCGTCTTTCACCTACGACCCCTGCTGGCTGGACAGCATCGCCCAAACCGCTGGCTTCCTGCTCAACTCCAATGCGTCCAATCCGGCAGACGTGGTTTACATGTCTACCGGTTGCGATGCCTTGAAGCTCAGCAACGAGCTGACAGGTGGGAGGCAGTACCTCTGTTACGTCCGCGCGGAGATTTCGGACAACGGCAGCAGTGTGGTCTGTGAAACGACCGTCTTTGACGAGACCAGTGCCGTTGCTATCGGCGAGGGTCTCAAGTTCAAGCGGGTGAAGAAAGACCGCCTCCGCCAACTGCTTGGCTTGCCTTCGGCAAAACAATCCGATCCGGTCAAGAACAAGGCTGCCCCGCCAGAGCAGAAGATTGCCGTCGAGAAGGAAGTCAAGCAGCCCCGAGTGACCAGTGACTCCACCGATAAGCCAACCGCAAAGGTCTCCCGTCGCGAAACTTCGGACCACGAGCAACTCTCCTCCGTACTGAAGGTTATCAGTGCCGAGGTCGGGACTCAGCTGGAGGACGTGGAGAAACACACCACACTGGAGGACTTGGGCGTCGACTCCCTCCTCACGGTCGCCATCACCTCCAGACTGAAGTCGGAGCAGAACATCGAACTGCCGGCGACCCTCATCGCCGGCCCGACCACGATAGCAGAGCTCATTGCCTACTTTGACGATTCGACGGCGGATATCGTTGACGAGCCCACCGACGAGAGCGGCGCCTCTACCCAGGATTCGCCATCGTCCGCTATCTCGACTCCGCCGACTTTGCCAGTCGCCGATTCCCCAATATCTGGCATCCCAGGCCTCGAGGGTGTCGACATGAAGGACATTCTTCTTTCTGTCATCGCCAAGGAGAGCGGGCTCGATCCGAGCGAGATTGGCATGGACACCTCTCTCGCTGATATCGGCGTCGACTCTCTCATGAGCATTGCCATCATCGGAGCCGTGAAGGAGCAGACTGGAACCGAGCTCCCGGCTTCTCTTCTCGCGGACTGCGCGACCGTATCGCAAGTGGTCCGCACTATTGCCAGTGACAATTCCCAAGGTCCGTGTTATCCCTCGAATTCCCCCGTCACCATCTGCAAAGGCTCACTCTCGCTAGACGACTCCAACCTTTTTCCGTCAGAGGAACTTCTTCCCCAAGTGGTTCTTCCCCCGGTGAAGCCATTTAACCCTGAAGAGTACCACAGCAACGTCGTCCTCCTCCAGGGCCAGCCGCAGAGCCAACAACGCCTGTTCCTCATCACAGACGGCTCCGGTTCGGCAGCGGTCTACCTCCACCTCCCCAAGCTAGCTCCGAACCTGACAGTCTACGCGCTTGAAGCACCTTTTCTGGGCAGAGCGTCTGAGTTCACGGGCAGCATGGAGCAGATTGGGTCCATCTACGCGCGCGCCATCCGCTCCGTGCAGCCCCACGGGCCCTACATGATCGGCGGCTTCTCCGTGGGCGGCATGTTCGCCTACGAGACCCTGCGCCAGCTCGTTGAGGGCGGCGAGCAGATCCACAGCTTCCTCGTCTTCGACGCCGCGTGTCCGAAGAAGCTGCAGGGCATCCCGGACGTGACCGTCGAGGTATGCGAGATGACGGGCATCTTCGACAGCATTTCCGAGACGGATAAGCGGAGGCCCCTGACGATCGAGCAGAAGACGTACGTCGCGGGCTGCGTCAAGTGCGTCATGAACTACGACCCGGTGCCCCTCCCGGCGCATGCCAGGCCGGTGCACACGTTCATCATCTGGGCCCGGAACGGGTTCTTCGACAAGCTGTCTGACAAGGTCATCGAGGCGGACAAGATCCTGACGGCCAAGAGCGGCCTACAGAAGGAGGCTAACCCGGACTGGATGGAGTGGTTGACCGTGGAACGTAGTTCGTTTGGTCCTAGAGGTTGGGATAGGTTGGTCGGGGATGTCGAGACGTTTGTCGTCGATGGTGATCATTTCTCCATCATGATGCGTCCAAGGGTAAGAACCACCCCCCACCCCCGAGACTTTCGCACCAATCTTGTAAAATGGTTGACTAAGACCAACGGCACTCAGATCACCAACGAAACGGGACCTCTGGTGCAGAAGTTGGCCAAGAAAATGGTATCGACGCTGAACAAACCTCGGCAACTAACGCAAGTTGCCGAGTCCCCCGCAGCGCTTCAAAAGGTTCGAGAGACGTTCAAAAACTCAACTGATCTCGTCCTCGGCTTCTCCGACGAGGCAGGATGCTCCGGGTTCTGGGACGAGGTGTTCCCTACCCAGCAACAGTTGGTCCTCGCCTTCATCACCGAATCGCTGGCCCGGATGGGCTGCAACCTAGACGCGCTGCCGCCCGGAGAGGCTCTTGAAATCACCAACACTCTCCCCAAGCACCAAAATCTGCTCCAGATCATCTACAAAATCCTCCAAGACGGCGGTCTGGTCAAGTCCCAGCACGGCAGGTTCCTCCGAACCTACCAGCCCATCGACAAGACACCCTCGTGGGCGATCTACAACCAGCTCATCCGAGACCACCCCCTCCACAACAGCGAGCACGAACTCCTCCAAGTCGCGGGCTCCAAGCTGGCCGAGTGCCTCACGGGGGCGATCGAGCCGCTCAGCCTCATCTTCGGCAAGAGCCGCGGCCTGCTGCAGGAGTTCTACACCAACGCGCCCATGTTCGTGGCCGCGTCCAAGTTCGCCTGCGAGATCATCGGGCGCGCGTTCGCGGGTGTTACGTCCCGCGTCGAGATCCTCGAGGTCGGCGCCGGCCTCGGCGGTACGACAAAGTACGTGCTCGACAAGCTCGTCGAGAACGCCGTCCCCTTCACGTACACGTACACGGACATCTCGTCCTCCTTCCTGGCCGAGGCGAAGAAGAGGTACGCCCACCTGCCCCCGGGCAGCGTCGAGTTCGTGCCGCTGGACATCGAGAAGACGCCCCCCGAGAAGCTGTGCGGGCGGTTCCACGCCGTGCTGTCGTCCAACTGCGTCCACGCCACCAGGAGCCTCGCGGCGTCCTGCGGCAACATCCGCAAGCTGCTCCGCCCCGGGGGCTTCGTGGTTCTCGTCGAGTTCACGACGAGGCTGTCGTGGTTGGATCTGGTGTTTGGGCTGCTCGAGGGGTGGTGGCGCTTCGACGACGGGCGTACGCATTGCTTGGCTGATGAGCACTTGTGGGAGTCGACGCTGAAGGCTGTTGGTTTCGAGAACGTGCTATGGTCGGACGCTGAAGGAAACGATAAGCCGAATCCTCAAACTCTCGTGGCTTTTTGAGGTTTGACGTACACGAAACCAAGCTCTGGTTTAAATAATTCTATTATGTAAATTAATTGCGAAACTGTAGTCCTTTCCTTTCCCATCCGCTATAGCACGAATTAGATTGACACAATCTCTGTCTTACACAATTCTGCCAGACTCGAACCTCGGCTTGCCCCGCCATATTGTTTACGAGTCTCCCAAAGATTACCATAGAAGTGAATTGAAAGTTGCTATAAGAGAAACTGTTCTTCATATTGCTGTGTTCGGCGCATTTCCATGGGGATGGACACAGAAGCGCCCGGTTGTACTATTATCTTCTATTCTATAAATACTTATGTGGAACTTTCTCTTTCCTCTAGTCTAACTATTTCTACTTTAGAATTATTGAAATGCTGTTCTATAGACTAAACATTCCCTCGTCTTATTAAAGCAACTGCGCTAAACCCCCTACGCCGATTAAGACCTATCGCTAAACCAAATTCACTAAGTTAGGCCCCGTGCGGGTGCCCACTACTACCACTATCCTATGGACTACCGAGATATTCACCCCTTCAACCGCCCAGTCCGAGGCCTTTGACGCTTTCCCCGTGAGCCCACAGTCGGCTCGTGACGCACAGTACGGCCCTCCAGGAGACATGCCTCATCCATTCCGTCGGAGGGCCGTGCCATCCACGCCTGCCAGTACGCCTGTCATGCCGGCGACAGGAAACCATGACATTGAGGGATGGCAATCTATTGACGGTATACTTTCATCGCCATCCAGGTGGTCACCTAGATCTCCCCAGCGGCTGTCTCGCGGGTCCATCACTGGGACTCCCTTTGGGTCGACTTCTTCTGAAGTCACCGGGGGAAAGTCAGGCAGAACCGTTCCAAATGCGTGGATGACCATTTTGAGGATAGGGGCACAGGTATTACTTTTGATCAGTGTGGTTGGTGCCTTGTTCATATTTAACCCGGCTGTCAACATGACATCTAGCGGGTAAAACACGTCAGTGCTGCTACTCTCACGAATGTAGACTCCCCGGGATTTTGTTCTTTGATCATTTGCTTCATACTGATCATGAATATGGAATGTATCTTTCCTCCAGTGAACGGTCTCGTGCAATTTTTATCACGTACATCTTGAATATTTGCCAATTACACTATCATGATGCCTACTAGAATACTACGTCCCTCCTCTAAACTGTAAACAAATGATGCTAATCAGTCCTTGGTTGTGATTATAATCCTTTTGTAACGTCTAATTGGGTGTGGCCCTTTCTTCGTGCGAACTTGCAAGACCACCTGCCATTCTTTGCCATCCGTGAAGGCGCTATCTTCAACCGACACCTCAACCTTTGGACCAAGCGTGACATTCGCAAATCCAGCTTCGTTCAGAGACAGCACGCCGTTTGTACCAGAGGGTGAGGCGAGTGGCTGAATGAAAAGGCCACTTGGTTGCGGCGGGTACACCTGTGCTGCAGGATACTCAAACCACTCAAAATCGAGCTGGCTCAAATCCTCAGGATGGTCGGCGTCATATGTGCTTTCTCCATACAATATGATGGACTGATTGGCCTTGAGGTCGAATCGTAAAACTTCAGGGCCTGCAGAACCATTCACACTGACCAGAGGCGGATGAGCTACGGCGCTGACGCTCTGGTTCAGGGTCCATTGCATCCGCGCGGCAAAGTCGTCCTGCATAGCGTCTCTCCAGCGCCAGATCGTCGCCTGAATACTCGAGTATGAAGTCCCATCAGACAATGTGAGGGCATCCAACGAGTTTCCATACCAGTTGATGCCGTCGACATCGACCACCTGAGAGTATCGACCTCCCCAACCGCCCAATTCCGGCTGCTCGGTGGCAGAAAGACCATTTTGAATGAGCCACAGGAAGCTTGGTGTATCTCCTTCCATATTGAACTCGATTAAGGGATAGGTTGTGCCTAGAGGCCCAACGCGGATGTTCGGGGTGATCCACTCGTCTGTGATCTTGGTGGTGTTTGCTAGTCCGTTGGCGTTGGTGTTGACTCCCGTCCAAGTTGCGTCTCCGAACTCTAGGAAACCATGCATGCTAGAAATGTAAAAGATGTCTGGCCACTGAGACTGAATTCACGTGCCGGTGCCGTCTTGATCTGAGATCGCATAGACTCTGAGTCGTGACCGCAGCAGCGCAGCTTCACTTGGAGATTTCTCTGTGTGTATGTGCTGAAGAGCCTGAGCAAGAGTGTTGGCGCCGCCCCAAAGGCTCACGTGCAGGGGATCTGACGACTCCTCGAGCTTCTCGATGAGCAATTATGCGCCTTCGCTGAGTGTAGAATTCAAAGCCTCCATTCCGTAAACCTGACAACGGCGTAATTAGTTATGATCGTTCTCTTCCTCAGAAAGCTGGTTGTGAATGGAACACTAACCGTGGGCCCGGATTTGACGAGGGATAATAGCTCGTCGGAGCTCTTGAACTGAAAATCCGCAGAGACATGTTGATTGAGGTTGCCAACAACCATGCCGTACGCGTTGACGATCTTCTTCATCTCTTCGGGATGGGTAGTATTCCTCAAAAAGAACGATGTTGTCGCGCAAAGCCCGCGAATGTCAATTTGGTTTGAATACACAAGCAGGCGAACCAATGACATGGAGTCATCTGGCTCGTTCAGGATGTCGGAGAGGATGAAGACGCGCGGTTTGGAGAATGAAGAAGGATTGCCGCATTGAATCGACTCAGCGCTGACCATTGGTATGATTTCTTGTGCCCAGAGGAGTGCAGAGAGCAGACACAGCAGCGGAGTGCGGAACATCTTGTGAAGCTGGTAAGAGAACGTTGTGTGTGGGGGGAGAGACGAGATACCAAGGACGTCGAACGCACACGCTATTGTAAATATATACGGACAGACACTTTGGGCAGCCCATTCTCACCGTAATAAGATAGCTCTGTGCTGGCGATGAGAGCCTACAAATTGGGAAATCACAGGCATCCATATCCCACCGGCTTCTGCAAGGGCAAGTCGAGCTTTGCCCAGCCCTGGTCACTTTCGCTATCTGGGGTGGTATCCCGTCGGCTCAGGAACCAACAACCAGATAGTCCGAGCCGACTTATTGATCGTCTATTGCACTGAATACCAGCTGCGGGAGAAATGACTGCATCATCTCTTGGAAGAGGAAATTGCTTCCACCACCGTAGTCCACGTGGACCGGGATTCATGTGCCTAATGTTTCCACTTCAGGAAACATGTTTGCGAGAGATCTTTGGGGAGCGGCTGGGGACCCCGCGATTTAGCATCCAGATGCCATCTCACTCCCCCAGACTGTGGACAAGTCGGAGGTAATGTGGCCGACGTAGGGTTGATCGCTCTCGGGTTTTCCGACGAATCATGGAATAACCGGCCGGCACTTTCAACGGCTCTTGTTCAGCATACTTACAAACACTGGTTGATTGGTAGGCAGTTTGTTTAGAAATGAACCCTTTGATTAAATCGTTTTTATTTCGAACTAGGCTTTGGGCAGTTTCTCGCCCGCCGCAACCAACGTCACCTACAGATTTGGTATTTCGAGAGCTGCTTTACAGCGCCGAAGTTCCAACCTGTCCATGCGCATTATTGGTAATCATCTCACGGGCTGCGTTCATTTGTCTCATTTTCTTTCATGCGTGGATGAGTCAAAATCAAAAACTCCGTCAAGCTCTCGCATTTCAGCATGTCTGTTTTAATCCTCGGTGAAGAGGCTCGGTGTAGGTTGCTGTCACCGATCGGCCCCGCGTCCATACAGGGCTAGCAGCTCGCGCTCGACCTCGGCATGCCCATTTTGGGTGGCAGTGGAGTTGTCCTTAGTCAGCTTCTTGGCGAAAGAAATGGATTTCGCTGGGGACAGAGTTTATCTCCATTTAGGATTTCAAACTCGACGTCGAACAACATCCAGGAAGCAGACGTTGAAGTGCTCAGAATGGCGGGAAACAAGGCAGGCGCAGACAATGCGTCTACGCGCTCAGTGGGGCCCCGAGTCATGTACTTGACGCTGTACAACACTGTTTTCGCGTGCCTATGGGCGTCTATCTTCGTCAGCACCGTTGCCAACACCCCCCACGGCAAATTTGCTATTTTTCAGGCGACAGAGCCACGCGCGAGATGGATTCAGACGTTTACGCTGATTGAGGTAGTGCATGCTGCTGTCGGTGAGTGACATGGGCAGACGAGCCGGGACGAGGTTTACATGAGCTATTTTCTGACGAGTGCCATCGGCTAGGTCTTGTGAAGTCGCCCGTAGGCACGACGGCACTCCAAGTCATTGCCCGTACTATCATTGTCTGGATGGTGTGGTTCAGCTTCCCGGAGAGCACCGCATCATCCAACGCATACCTCGCGCTTGTACTGGCGTGGTCCGTTGCAGATTTCGTTCGCTACGCGTACCTGACTCTGAATCTTCATGGCAAAGCAACATCTAGCCTTATCTGGCTAAGGTAACCACACCTGCATCTGTAATGGAAAATTTCTCATGTTGACCACTCTGGCTTAGATACTCCCTCTTTTATCCACTGTACCCCATCGGAATTGCGTCCGAATGGTGGCTATTGTACAAGGCCATTGAGCCAGGTCGTCAAGTCAGCACTGCTATCCCGCCAATCTTCTACTTCTGCCTATGCTTGTATATCCCTGGTACGTCAATTAGTGGCTCAGTTCCTTGAGAGTCTTTCATCTAACATTGGTGAAGGGTCTTACACAATGTACACGTATATGATCAAGCAAAGAAAGAAGACCCTCTCCAAGGCTTTGAAAGTCCAATGAGATGTCGAGTGTGGCTTATGACTTATCTTCAAGTTCCGAGCCTACACTCCCACTTCAGTGCTTTTTCCACAGAAATCACTTCATGGATTTTTATTGAACACAAAGTCGTAGCTCCCATAAGTACTACCACAGACACAACTGGCGGTGATACCACCTACACAAACGCGAGTACGAATACGCATCACAAACCTGCGGTGTGCCTGTACAATCTGAGGTGAATAACAACGGTTGAAGACCCCGGCCTTGTGATGTGACTGTTCGACGTAAAGCGACATTCTAGCACGCCCACTCGGGCTGTTCAATGTCTCAACTGCTCCCGCTGACTAACAAAACCCCTGACACAAGTCCGGTCTTGCCACAGTCGATAGCTCATAACAGGCTCAGCAAGTGTGAGTATATGGAGTTCGCGCATGAATCATGTTTACGGATTACAAATGGGCATTCGCGTATCGATTACGTACCCGGTTTCAATGTTTGATGTCAACTGGGGACGAGCTCTGGGCCATCGGAGAATTCTTGCCGGGAGCTACACGTTGCCGTCGGCCGGTCCAGGCTGGATGTAACTTAGATGCAAGTATTGATCATCATAACCGATTCGTAGTAAGACGATCTGTAAGCAATCAGGCATTCTTGTCCTTGCGGGTGGTCTTAGCTGAGCAATTTGATTAGTTTGTCCGGCACCTGGGGGCGTTCCGACCCCGATGATCGTCAGGATCCACGGCCGACCCCACACGCCGCGCCAAGTCGGCACCGCGACTCGCCCGAGATGCCCGTCCGCAATGTTTCTTGCCTCACGTTTCAAGTCAAATAAATATCGAGATTCAAAAGCAAGTCTATGAGAACTTTTGTTCATAGTGTCTTACAGACATCATCTCTATTATCAGCCGCCATTGGAAACGCAAAAATGGGCTCCCTTTCGAATAAGGTCGCAACCGCCGATAGTATACGGCGTGAACCGTCATCTGGTCTCTCAATCTTGATTGTCGGTGGTGGTATTGCCGGGCTTGGCTTTGCTATCGAAGGATATCGAAAGGGCCATGATATTCGTATTATCGACCGACGACCCAACTTCGACGACTACGGTAATACCGAAACAGCGCCCTTCTTCTCAAAATCTTCTCGCTAAACAAAAGTCCAAGTGACATTATCGGCATTGGAGATTCCGTGGTACACACTATGAAGTAGTGGCCTGGCTTTCTAGAAGCTTGCTACCAGACGCCATTTCCCAGATCCTATGATGCATACAAATTTGACGGAAGTAAGATTGGCAAGCTTGGGGAGGGTCTGGGCATGAGCAGGTCGGAGTTTCATTCGCTGCTGCATCAGTATGCTCTCCACATCGGAATCCCAATTCGCTATGGCGCGAAGGCGGTCGACTACTTTGAGACTGAAGACGAAGCTGGCGTTGAGCTTGAAGACGGAGAGAGGATTTCTGCAGACATTGCTGTTGCTGCGGATGGCATTGGTTCCAGATCGTGGCGATTGATAGCCGACACCAAGGAGCAACCTATAAGCTCAGGCTTTGCTCTGTTCAGGAGCACGTTTCCTGTTGAGTTGGCTTTGAAGAATCCCTTGGTCTATGAGGCTATCGGGAACATTGAATGCGTCAGCCGACTCTTCTTTGGCTTGGGAGCTCATTTGGTCATGGGGAAGACTCCCAAAGATATGATATGGATGCTTACCCACAAGGTCAGTCGATGCTTCATTCACTAGCCGTGTTTTTGGCATGTATCCTAACTGATAATCGGTGTTTTAGGATGACGGGAACGCCCAGGAGGACTGGGCCAAGCCTGCTGACCCGAAGGATGCTCTGCCATATGTGGAAGGGTGGGCACCTTGGATACAAGAGATTATCACAATGACGCCCAAGGATGGAGTTGTGGACTTCAAGCTCATGTGGCGCAATTCGAGGGAGAAATGGGTCATTCCGAAGGCCAGGGTTGTTCAGATTGGCGATGCAGCTCACACCTTCTTGCCCACGTCGGCGAGTGGTGCGACGATGGCACTCGAGGATGCGTTCTCTCTGGCAGCTCTGCTTCATCGAAGTGGAATGACCGATGCACCTCTGGCCCTCCGAATTCAAAACAAACTCCGGTTAGTCTATACCTTTTCATTAGTCTACTTTGGTCTTTTTAGCTAAACGTTTCAATCGTCAGGTTCGAACGCGTGACTTGTGCTCAGAAGATGGGGTTCAAGAATCGGGAGAACTTTCACAATACGGACTGGGATGCTGTGGCCAAGAACCCATCATCGATTCTCAAGCAGGTTGATAGATGGGTTTCCGAACACAACCCTGAGCAGTACGCGTACGACAGTTATGACAAGTGCTCAGCTCACAATCTCTCTGGAAAGCCATTCCAAAACACGAACACGCCTCCGGGACACACCTTCAAACCATGGACGGTGGACGAGCTTCTGGCATACGCTGAGCGAAGAGAGAGAATCACGGATGACGGAGATTGGTCGTGAGCGACATTTCAGAGCATTGACCGCGATTAAAAGTCAAAATTGTATAAGGAATGGCACATTACCTGAATAGAAAGACCGACATTAGAAAGTATCATTAGATTAGAACATAGCATGTCTTGCATGATGTTTTTACACGAGTAACCATTAGTGAGACACAGTCCAGACATCGAGAACGACAAGATAAAGTAGGTTGCAAGCATGACGACTTCTGAAGGAAGCAGGTACTCAGTCGTACCCAGAGCTGAAGCTTCCAAATATGGCATCGATGGCGGAGTTACAAACCGACGGCAGGTGCAAGAGCGCAGCTACATGGAAAGATGCAACTCGGGTTGTCTCCTGCTTGCCTTGCAGCTTCCCATTCGACTGATGTAAGTACCTAGGTTTACCACCTACCCATTTGACGTCAAGCTACCTTGATCATCGGCATTCATTTCTTCCCAACTTCATCGCCCAGCTACCTCTCGCTTCTTTAGTGTTCATCTTCATTTCAGAAGTAATCATGACGGACCCCCACACCCGTCAATACTCCCACCTCGGTGGCACCACCACTGAGCTCCTCGAACGTTTTGCTGTTTCTGAACTCTGCAAAGGCTGGCCGGTCTACCGCGATGCCAGCGAATGGGCCAACTACCGCTCCCTCTTCGCCGACGACGCCATCGTGTGGACAAGTGCGCTCGCTTTCCCTCCCCCGTGAAAAAGTCTAACACACTAGCCACGTGTAGCTTGGAGTGGACCCCAGCCCATCGAAGACTTCATTCGCATCTCCATCAGTGGGAAAGAAGCCGGTGCTTTCATCATGCATCGCGAATGCGGTACCCTTGTCGAACTCAATACTGAGAAGAACCGCGCCGTCGGCAAGATGAAGGCTACGATCACGCAGAGGTTCCAACACCCCGACGGCTTCGAATACGATGTCGACTGTGACTGTCGCTTCATGTTCTTCTACGAAAAGACCACAGATTGGAAGGCCGTCTTCGTCAAGTTGGTCTACGAGAAGGACAAGTTGGTACCTGTCGATGGGAGGGTACCGTCCTTTGCCCCTGAGGTTTTGGCCAAGTACCCCCAGGGCTACAGGTATCTTGGCGCGGCGCAGAGTATGCTGGGCTATGACATCGACGTAGATCTAGTGCCTGGCAACAATACTGCGGGCATGTACCGATCGATTGAGAGGTGGTTGGAAGAGCCGGCAATGTCTCGTTCTTTTCGTCCGGAGTGATAGTTGAGCAGGCAAGAGGCAAGAACCTCGAGAAGCAGCAGTCTCTGGGAGACGCCCGGTACCTGGAACCTAAATTCGAACAATACCATTCACTGACAGTACATATTGAAAAAGATGTGGCGCGAGCAGGTCAGAAGAGGTTTTCACGAGAAAAGCTCCTCCATCACCGAGTCCTGATTCATTCTCGTTCCACAGCCAATGTGGTGATTTGCATTATATCTATTTGAAGGCGGTTTTGACAATGCTCGCTACGTTCCATGCGCCGAGTAATCATTAATCCCTCCACCATGCAAGAATTGAAAGTGAGGCCCCGCCGTTCCAGTACGCCATACACACAGTACCCAAGCCCGCTCATGATGCCCAATGATTCTTTTACGTATGCCCTATCAGACGTTCCAACATATACATGCCCGTCCATCGCCCATCTCTCACAAGACCATCCATGTCAAGATGACGCTTGACACTATCGCAGCGAAGCTGGGGGAGGATATTGAGGCTGATGACCCAGAACCTGCCGACGGAAGCCCCGACGTCTCTGGAGAGGCGCCGGTTGGGAGATTTGATCCTGTGCCGGAACCTGTGCCGGAACCTGTGCCGGAGCCAGACCCGGAACCAGATCCGGAGTTTGAGCCGGTCCCGGCACCAGTGTTGGGCACGGTGGTGGTACCGTTATTGACCGGTGACGTTACGGGGGCACCGGGACACAACCCCTTGATGGCAGGAATATCTTCTGGGCGGTTGATAGCCATCGTCCGGGTGCCACAGTTGACGTATTGAGCAAGGTAGGCGGCATTAGTATCGAGATCGAACACGGCTAAAAGGGTTTGTTAGCGGGATTGTCACTGATAATTATCATGCTTCCAACGTACCATAGGCTGAACGCAGGAAGGTGTCGCCCAGCAGCGTGAAATCCGAATTCGGGACAATGCCAAGGTAACAAACCGGCGGGCTTGTGCGCAGCTCACGAATCATCTCCTTGTATGGTACCTTGATCTTCATCCCTTCAAAGTCGAAGTCGACAGTTCCGTTGAGGTTGACCAGAGTACAGGAGACGGGATAGAATCCATTAGCATCGAGACCCGGTGAGCCAAAGTCGGACGCAATCGTGTTCGCGATATCCATAGGCAGCAGGGTGAGAGTAGCTCCGCTGTCGAGGAAGACAGGCATGTTGCTGTTCGGGTAGTATCGTGTTCGTCCGCTCGGCGGGGTGATGCTCATCTGGGTCATTTCAACCCAGTACCGCGCAACACCATCGGGAGACTGGTCGGCAGGAATGATTGGTAGGCGAGCCAGAGATCCAGAAAACTTCGAGGTGTCGATTCCACCGAAGATGATGGCCCCTTCCTGCTCATCCTTTGATCCCAGAGCCAGACTGAAGGCCTTGGTCTTAGTGACGTTCTGAGCCGCGAGTTCATCGATGAGATTCTTGTAACGCGTGTTGACTCCTTCACCGGCACCAATACCAAGGATACCGGCGAACTGATCTTCCGAGCTCGTAGCGACACCGAACTGAACATTCTGCATCGTCTGCCGTGACCCGGCGAGGGCTAGATTGTCGCGGACATAGGTGATGTTGGCAGCGCCGATGCCGTAGCGCAGCGTTTTCGTCGTCCGCAATGGAGTAACGGTCGATGATTTGGCGGTGTCGTAGAAGCCAACGGCCTCACAGAAGCGTTGATCGGAGGCGCTGAGAATGCTGCAATCCGGGTTCACCCACAATTCGAAGGACCCGGTATCAAGCTGGGCATAGACGGGTTGTGGGGGCGTGCCGATGTTGACTGATTCTTGTTAGTCCACAAACACGGTTCTTGGCAATGTTTTATATTAGAAGAGGGGTTGCGGTAGCTTACGTTGCGCGTAGTATGCCACGTCTGAACGGTTGGCGAGCTTCGCTTCGACTTGTCGGCTGAAGACCCCACGCTTCGTGGAGTGGATGACAGGCAAGGTGACGAAGGTAGCCTTCATGTCGACTTCATCATCTACCGGCAAGCCTCTCGTTGAAACCGGGGGCTTGAGCTTTGGAGCGACAGGCAAGGCCTCCAGGTCGTCGGTGAGGATGTCGTCGAGCAAGAGCTTCCGCGGGCGGTTCCCATTCACACGTCTCCTCCTCAGCTTCGAAGTCACCGGTAGCGTCATCATCATCGTCTCCGAAGCCTCATCCGCCGGTAGAGGAAGCCCTCGCGGGGCAACGTTGTCCTTGTCATCGTGCTGCGTCGTATAAGGAATGACGGGAAGAGTCATAAAGGCGCCAAAGTCTCCGTCATCGGTTGGTAGTGCAGGCCATGCTTGGGTGCGGGCGACTAACGAGAGGGCCAGTAGGGCGGAGGAGAGTAGCGCCATTTCTGGCGCCGGGAGAGAGGGTGGAAATTCGGGCTATCGCGGTCGTCGCCACATGGGAACTATCTTCAAAGAGGCGCTCGGGGCGGTTGTTGAAGTTCACCAGACAGATGAATCGATCGGCGGACGGGCGGTTCAAATCTCGAATTCGGCTCTCAGAGCTCGGGCGTCGTTCAACGAGCGGATTGGCGAAAAATGGATCAATAAAGTTTACGACAAAAGGAGCGGAAAGAAGAAGAATATCAGAAAAAGGAAAGAAAACAGACAAGCTGTGTTGACGTTGGATGAAAAACGACGATCCTGTCGGAAGACGATGAAGAAAAGATGCCGTTCAAACGGCAAACGCAACGCAATGTAAAACACGCCTTGGCTGGTTGAAAAAGAATACTAAGAAGAGGGAAAATAGAAGCAGGGACTCCACCGTCGACGCAGTCAACGATTGAGGACGAAGGGAATATTTGGCAAGAGGGAAAGAGAGAGCGAGAGGAGAGGCCGTGACAGGAATAGGAACAGGAAGAGATCGACATGGGTTGAAGACACCACACAGACAGAGAGACGAACTGGTCGGTCCCTTGTCCCAGCTGTCAACGCCAAGGGAACCGGGGGCTCGAGGATGGGGAACCACAGTGTCTCAAGAGTGACATGGTTCGCACGTTTTTTCGCCCTTCTCTTCTGGTGGCTCCCCTGTCGAATCTCGGTGCCCGCAAAGAAGGCCGCTGAGCCAAAATCCAAATTTGGCACACGAGCCAAGATGCTGCGAGCGCCGTCCGAGGCTACTACGGCATTCTTGTGCTCGACGGAAAGCAAACAAACAGCAACTCTGCATCGACCGGTGGGATATTCCCTCGAGACTCTTCTCGCAAAGTCTCAAGCTTGGAAGGGAACGCAAGTGATTGAGACTTGGCAGTCGGGCCTTGGCAACCTCGAAAGACGATGGCAACGGCTCTGAGTGGCCACTATGGGCATCTCAAACAGTGACTAGCGGCCTGGCGTCACAGATTCCGCTGGGGGTTGCAGGCGAGCCAGGGTGCGGAAATCGTAGATCAGACAAACCCCTGAGACGAAAGCGGACGCGAGTGGTGTGAGACTCAGCGGCACTAAGCCCCTTCAGGTCACCTTGGCCCTGTCTTGGCTCCTCTTTTGAGGGCACTCACCGAGGGGTCGGGAGGGGTCCTTGGGCAGAATCTCTGCGACCTATGACCTGAAGGGGCGGGAGAGATCAGAGCCGAGAGAGCTGGGTGCCGTTGGCCAATTGAACGATGGATAATGATCCGAGAACGACAGCATCGAGGATCTTGTGAACCTCGCGAGTGCTTGTTCTGAAGGCTTGATGCATCTGTCAGCCAATCCTCTTGAAGTGATCCCCGGCGGTGGAGCACCAGCCTGAAGCAGGGAGGGAGAGCATTGGAAATGCCCAGCCGCCTCGATGCCTCCAACAATCAGACCA